GTATGTCGGGGATCCGTATCATATTCTGGATTTTAGTACAGTGCAGTTGGACGGTAATTTGACTTATGATGTGGAGCTGGTGGCTATTTTAGACCGGCAGGTTAGAAAACTGAGGTCAAAGAATATAGTATTAGTGAAGGTACAGTGGAGAGGCCAGCCAGTTAGAGAAGCTACTTGGGAGATTGGGCAGGAGATGTGGAGCAAATATCCACACCTATTTGAGACTCCAGATATGATTCTAAACTCGTTCGAGGATGAACGTTTGTTTAAGAGGGGGAGAATGTAACGACCCGGCCGGTCGTTTTGAGTATTTTAACCCCGTTCCCCCATTTACTGCTCAAGTCGTTCTTTACAGTTATTTTATGACTTACCAGGTTAGTTGGTTCGGGTCCGGAAGGATTTCGGAGTGAAATGAGACACTTAGTCTCATAATTAAAAATTTAAGTTAAAAAGTTGACCGGATGTGGACTTATGTGTAAACAACCTCGAATTTTAATTTTGATGATTCCAATAGCTCCGTATGGTGATTTTGGACTTAGAAGCGTGCCCGAAAAATTATTTGGAGGTCCGTAGTGGGATTAGGCTTGAAATGGCGAAAGTCGAATTTTGGGGAAGTTTGACCGGGGTTGACTTTTTGATATCGGAGTAGGAATCCAATTTTGGAAATTTGAATAGGTTCGTTATGCCATTTATTACTTGTGTGCAAATTTTGAGGTCAATCGGACGTGATTTGATAGGTTCCGACCTCGTTTGTAGAAATTGGAAGTTTCAAAGTACATTAGGCTTGAATTGGGATATGATTCATAGTGTTAGCATTGTTTGATGTGATTTGAAGGCTTGACTAAGTTCGTATGACGTTTTAGGACTTGTTGGTGAATTTAGTTGATGTCCCGAGGGTCTCGGGTGAGTTTCGGATGGTTAACGGATTAATTTTTGAATTTGGAAGGTTGCTGAAGTTTCTGACTTCTGGTGCAATCGCACATGCGAGAATTGGCTCGCAGGTGCGAGCACGCAGAAGCACAATGGGCATCACAGGTGTGCAAGGTCCGCAGAAGCGGACAGAAAACTCGTACAAGCGAGCTCGCAGGTGCGAGCTGGGATGCGCAGAAGCGAAGGCTGGGCTGGTGACTATGGAGCGCAGATGCGGAAGGCATCTTGCAGGTGCGGACATGCACCTTCGCGTGGGGGATCGCATAAGCGATAATGTGAGCAAAAGCGGGGGAAAATCCACATAAGTGGTTGCGCAAAAGCAGCAAAAAATTCCGCAGCAGCGGAAATCCTTGGACAGTACAAAAACATAGGGGTTCCGAGCTTTTGCCCTTTTTGGGCTTTTCAAGCTCGGGTTGGGCAAATTTTGAATGCGGTTTTCACCGGAAATCTTGATGTAAGTCACTTGTGATCATTTCTAATCCTTAATATTGAATTGTCATTGAATAATCCGACTAGATTACATGTTTTTGAGGTGTAAATCGGGGATTGGAACTTAGGGATTTCAAAACAAGAATTTAAGATTTGGAGGCCGAGTTGAGGTCGGATTTTGGTACAATTGGTATGTTTAGACTCGTGGTTGAATGCGCTTTCGAATTTTATAACTTTTGTCGGGTTCCGAGACATGGGCCTCACGGGCATTGTTTTGAGTTAAATTTCGGATTTTTGTTGGAAAATTAGTATTTTCTGATGGAATTAATTTCAATAATTTTAATGGCTGAATCGGATTATTTGTGGCTGGATTCGAGGCGTTCGGAGGCCGATTCACTAGGCAAAGGCTTATTGGAATAAATAATTGCTCGAATTGAGGTAAGTAATAGTTGTAAATTTGGTCCTAAGGGTATGAAGCCCCCGGATTATGTATTATGTGATTGGTTTTGAGGTGATGCACATGCTAGGTGACGGGCGTGTGGGCGTGCACCGTAGGAATTGTGACTTGGTCGAATTCCATGGAACTGTGTAGTTGAATAATCTGTTGATACCAGTACATTCTCTATGTGTTGTAGAAATTTCTCTATGTGTTAGACATATGTTGTTATTATTGGTATCCACTAGGGTCATTTCTATGGTTGAATTATATGTGCAAACTATAATTCCACAATCAGTCATGTTCATTCATTTCATATCATATCTCAGTCTATGTTGCTATTTATTAATACATCATATTATCATTTTTGGGCTGATTTTCATGATATCTTGAGCGCGAGAGACTGGAGAGGTTGATGACTGAGTGAGGTCGAAGGCCTAATTGTGAGGATATTTATGGGATCGAGTTGCACGCCGCAGTATGTTTCATTGTTATATGCCATGATTGGCTTGATATAGAGCTTGGGTTGAAGGAGCCCCTTCAGAGTCTGTACACACCCCCAGTGATCACAGGTACCTACTGAGTGCGAGTGCCGAGTGCTGAGTGACTGTGAGAAATGAGTGACTATGACTAAAGAGTGACTGTGAGTTAGAGTGAATGGGAGGGCTGAGTGACTATTACTCTGAGAGGATGCAATGATTTCATTATTTGCCACATTTCAGCTGTCATATATCATTATTTCAAAAATTTCGGGAAAATATTATTTTCTGTTTCAGTCAAATTTGATATGAAATTACTGTAAAATTTTAAATGTTGAACTTGAGAGCATGCCTACCCTTTTATATTAAAAAGTACTGTATTTGGACTTAGCTGAGAAGCTCGTCACTACTTTCAGTTTCTTATTTATTATTGTTACTTGCTGAGTTGGTTGTACTTATACTACACCCTGCACTTCGTGTGCAGATCCAGGTGATCCCGGATACTGTGGGTGTTCATTCTTTCATGCATTTGATTTTCCGAGGATTTAGAGATAGCTGCTATATTTCACGGACCTTGTCTCTCCTTTCCTATCCTTTTGTTTATTGTATTTGGTCTCAAATTATTATAGACCGGGTTTCCCAGACTTGTAGTGTATAGATGCTCATGTACTTAGTGACACCAGATTTTGGGAGTGTCTGCATTGGGATTTGCGAGATTTTTGGTATTATATTTAAACATCATGTTTTCAAACTTAAAGGAAATCGTAGGTTATTGATGTTGTCGGCTTGCCTAGTATTGAAATAGGCGTCATCACGACAGGTTAGGATTTTTGGGTCGTGATAAGTAAAAATTAATCTGAGCCCACTGAATTCACAGTGTTTCCTTAAGGAACTTATTCCCCTCCTAGTACCCGAGGTTGTGGATTATTTCTTCCAAGGATAGAATGGATTACACACTGGTCTAGTGGTACTTCAAACTTCAGTGTTTCAACGAACATGGCAGCAAATTATACTTACGTTGTTTGTTTTGTAAGAAAACAATACAAAAAGGAAGAGGAGAATTCAGAATTTTTGTAAGAAAAATCTGAGGGAACGGTCTACTATTTATAGCCAATATGTTGAGTTTAAACGAAGAGGTGCAACTCTTCAGAATATCTGTTATGACTGTTCACGTAAAACGGCCATTACATAAATGGCTATTTACGCAAAATAAAATGAAAAATCAAAGCGCGGGGCTGAAGTCGAGCGCGGAATTGAGGAAAATGAATTTACTATTACAAAAACGGCTAATTTGGTCCAAAAAATTAATTAATCAATCAATCATTTGACCGAAGCTGAAGTCGAGCGAGCGCCGACGACGACACGAGGATTGCCTTCTTCTTAACTCTTTAAGAGCTAGAAGAAGAGCAATTGTATATATACCCATCAAAAGTATTTTCCTCCTCCAATATGGGACAATGTCCGTTTGTCAAGGAGGGAAAATTAAAATTTTATTTTTCCCTTCATTTCTCATTCACTCTCTTTTAAGCTAAACTAAACTTAAAACTCAATAATGCCCCACACGAATGGGGAATGACTATATCATGGAAATATGCATGAAAACTGTGTGACTTGCAAGCAAGGATTAATTGCATCTGAATAAGTAGGTTTCCCTTTAAACTTTCTGTAGTGAACTTATGTCGGATATACTCGGTCGATCGGTAGATTTGATATATTTGAACTGTCAAACTTTGGTGTATACCTAGACACCCATAAGTCACACAATCAACCCTTAACTATCTTTGTTTTCTCATTATTTTGTTCGTTTCAGCCATGAACACCGTCTGGTTTCATAAGTGCGTAGAGAACTGGCCTTACAAAATTCTACTTGAAGCGACTAACACTTCACACTTACATAGGTTATTTCTAAACGTGTCATCCCGTAAATACACTATTTGATATACCCCGTATAAAATTTAGAAACAATTAAATAGCCTTAATATTTTATCCTTGGTACTAAACATTGTCTCATCACAAAAATGGACCAAAATTTTAGTTGACAATGTTGAACCGTCATTAATGACTTTGTTTGATCTCCTTGAACCTAGATCTTGGGATCTCCAGTCTTCTAGGTAGAGTTACCGCCACAATGACTTGTCCTCGGCCATAGTCCCATTCCTTTCGATAATTTCTCAACTACCTCTCTAGTTAGGCCTTTCGTAAGTAGATCCGACACATTATCGCTTGACTTTATGTAGTCAATCGTGATAATTCCTCTAGAGAGTAATTGCCTAACGGTTTTATGTTTGTCATATATGACGAGATTTACCGTTTTACATAATGCTTTCAACCTTTCCAGTTTCCGTTTGACTATCACAATGTATACATATTAGGTTAATGTTAATACTTTCATAGTGACATAAATATTTATATCAAGTCTGCAATTTCATAAATATGAAACACCATATCAATGTAACAAATACCAAATATTTCTAAAGAAAATAACTTTTATTATTGTATCAAAAGAACAAAGTGATGATCGAATAAGCGTACTCTTTACAATTTTGATGACGTCAAATCAAATCATCTCTCCATTATTAACTAAATCAGAAAAGATAAATCTAAAAACTAATTAAATCATAAAAGACAGTGAATCCAACGTACACCTATGTTACGATCACTCCTAATTGGAGCTAATTCCCTTAACTTCCAGAATAAATTATGCAATAAAGCTTTATGGATGCATCTTTCCAAAAGTCGAGCATTCCCATGCTAGTAATTGATCGCACATCCACCAAAAATGATGTACAAGAAGTCCATATAAAAAAATTATAAATATATAACAAAGTACAAGAAGAGTGCATTTATTTTTTTTTAAATTTATCCTCTTCTTTTTCTTCGTGCCAACTCCATTGTTTGCAGTTCTTGATTATGTTAACCTGATAAAAAATATTACACTATTCAAAACTTAGATTTGGTTATCAAGCTATATTAGAAAAACATCAAGCACTAGAATTCAGAGACCAGACTTCCCAAAAAAAGCAGAACAAGTTGATCCCAAAGAAATAAGTTCTTTCAGTAAATTAAGAATGCTAAAAATTGTTCCTAAGTAGAATAAATTGCTACTTAATAATATCAACCCCAGTTCTTTCTCAAACATTTAAACGGGATAACAACATAAACAAAAAACAGAACTTGAATCCAGTAACTAGTTATACATCACCACTCTTGCACTCTAAGGAAAGGCCTCCCTTGTATATACAAATTGAGTTCAGAGTCAAGAGTTAATACGGGAAAATGATATGAATTATTGAGCAGAAATAAAGATAACACAAAAGTACTTAACCAAAAGAACACCACACGAAACAAATCCACATATATAACTATAGCAACTTGAAACAACCAATGATGCTTAACCAAACTTGCCATCCAATGCTCGGAAATCACGTACAAAGAATAAGGAAAGAAGAAATACCTTGTAGGTGATGTTTTATGGAGTAGAATTCTATCTTTTGTCACAACTTTATGTTTCTTTCTCTGTCAGGGAAGAGAGCTAAATAACAATCGCTATCAAATTCCAAAAGTAATTTAGGTAGTTTTCTTGGCTGAAAATTCATATTTATGCTTAATATATTCATTAAATTAGCTCAGGACCATTTTAGCAAGAGTATATTAAGAATATGATATGCTAAAGCACACATTTTGCCTATTATACAATGAATGTTACCTCAACTGAATGTTCAAATGAACAATTCACCAGCTCTTTCCATCTCATGGTAGATAAGAATAATGGCCTACAATACACAAATCAAAGTGCAAACGTAAAAATAAGATGTAAATAAAATTTGAAAGAATTATGAACCCAACCTGACTAGAATGCCAAATGTGTTGTGCTACGCAAAAGAGGCTAAGAATAATCTTCTTAACTGAACCATAAATTGAAACTACTTGAAATCCCAATGAAATATTGGACTACTTGAAATTGCAATGAAGCAGAGTTTAATAGCCAGAACCCATAGATCATCATTCACATGAATCTACTATCTCATTCCAAAGCAGGTCGAAAAGAAATCCTCTAAATAGAACTCGTACTCGAGCATCCAATTTAAATTTAAAAATATAGTGCTAAAATTACTCTTCTCAGTGTCCAACATATCATATTTGCGAAGTGTAGTAGTGTACTTAGCAGATACAAAGTTTAAATTAAAAACTGAAAGTAGAGTTCGGCAGAAACGAAGGCAGTTCCTAAAATTGTCCTGCGTCATAGAACCAGTTCACAAGTATAAAGGTGGAAAAGATATCGATTACAACTTTTTATAGAAAACCCAAATGCTACACCTAAAACTCAAAACTGAAGTAATATTAATTGGCAAAATTATCAAAAACAAAAAATAAAAAATAGCAAACAATACGTCAATTAGCCATGACGATACTCAAAAATCTTGTTCTCTAATCTTATTTTATAAAGATAAAAAATTACAAGGGTGGAAACCCTTCATAGAAACATAGATCTCCGATTCAAATAGAAAACGCAGAATTCAGAAAAGAGATGGGTAGTTTATATATATATNTGAGTTGGGCTGCCTGGAATGGTTGCCGGTGATGGTGAGAGAGAAATAAGTTGGGCAGAGGCTTTTTGCTTTATTCATTTATGTCTAAAATTTTCACTTATGGGAGGGAATGGGTAATTGTTGTGGGGAAAATGGGAGGGAAAGATAAAATACTAAAATTTTTGTTCAATTACCGAAAACAATGTAGAGAAATTTCTAACATTTGTTGTAAATGTTGCTAATTACCGACAAATAACATGACATTTGGAATAAATGTCATTATAATTGTGACATTTTGTATTAAATGTTGTTATTTTTGCAACTCTTTCTTATAAATGTCATGAAATTCCCTTTTTCCGACATTTATTTTTAAAATCACTAAATAAATATCGTTGTATCCTACTTTTCTTGTAGTGATTCCTAGTGTAGCGATTGTAATACATAATGCAAATTTTAGTAATATATGGATAATGAATTGTAACATATGAACTATTACACGAGTATTAATATACAATTTAAAATGTATTTTGTTTAGTTATTAGAAAGAATTGTTTAAAACATGAGAGGTATTTCGGTTATTTTAGTAGTTTTAATCTGTTAATTATTACTTTATTATTTTTATTTTATCTTTTATCTCTCTCTCTCTCTCTCTCTCTCTCTCTCTCTCTCTCTCACACACACACACACACACACACACATATATATATATATATATATAAATAAATACTCCCTCTATCTCATATTATGTGTTGTGTTTCTCTTTTATACGCCCCTTAAAAAATATTAATTAGGAAAAGGAATGGACTATTCTACCTTTATTTATATCTTAAGATATAATCTCTTTTCACTAAATATTTATTCTATTTATGTGTTATCTCCATCTTCAAGAATAATTATTACTAAGGGTAAAAAAGGAAAAAAATAATTAATTTTGTCTCGAACTTCTAAAATGACAAATAATTTGAGACAACTATTTCTACTAATCACGACTATTAATACGAGACGGAGGAAGTACATGAATAGAAATTGAGAATCAAAGGGCGTAAAAATATGAAGTTTATGGAATTAAAGTCCATATTAAATTTGAAAACAAATTCTTAATCCAAGAAATATCAATCCCAAATCAAGATTAATTATTTAAAGAGAAATTTTCATAAACCATTATAGTTAGGGGTGCGCATAAAATCCGAAAATCCGAATTCCGAACCGGACCAAATTAATTCGGTATTTCGATTTTGATTTTTTCGGTATTTCGGTTTAATTCGGTACTAAATTTTCGGTATTTCGATATAACGGTACGGTCCTCGATATTAAGATCTTGACAATTCGGTATACCGAAATACCGAATTTTTAAAGATCATGTAGGACCTATACACTGTCCGACCCAAAATTTTAATTCTCTAGGAGCCCAACCCAATAAGACTACCCAGACCCCAGTTAGGCAGTTACCCTAGTTTCAAACTTTCAGTCTTTTACTTGGAATTGGTAATTAGAAACCTAAGAGATCGGCTTACGGGCCACGGCTGTGACCTGTGACAGAACTCAGAGAAGTGAGAATTGAGAAACAATCTTCAATCTTCAACTCTTTAAGACTTCAACAGGTTCGTAACTTTTACCCACATGTTGAAACAATCTCTTGAGAGAGAATTTTGTAATCAAGAGATAGTTTTCCTCTTCATACATTGTTCAGAAAAAATTAAATTATTTTAATTTAGAAAAAAAAAATTGCTGCTACTGTTAATTCAAAAATTAATTTTGTTCTCATTCTGCTGCTACTGTTAATTCAAAAATTAATTTTGTTCTCATTCTGCTGCTACTGTTAATTCTGCTACTGCTACTGTTATTTCTGCTACTATTAATGTTGCTACTGTTAATTCTGCTACTGCTACTGTTATTTCTGCTACTATTAATGTTGCTACTGTTAATTCTGCTACTGTTAGTGCTGCTACTGTTACATATATTTTCTGCCAAAAGATTACATTAAACTTGGCCATTTTCAGAGAAAAGAATTGCAGCATGTTAATGCTGCTACTGTCGCATATTTGTTGAATAGTGGATTAAGGCATTAAGCCACAAGAATATGAGTTGGCTCCAAATGCCACCATTAGAAAATGCATCATGTCTATTTACTTCTTTCTGAAGAAATGACTGATCAATTTTATTGTATTTCTTGGCTGAACAGTTAGGCAGGGCATTGAAACATATGAGAATTATCACTCGTTAGTGTTGCTTATTTAGCGAATATTAAACCGAAACCGTACCGAACCAAAATAAGAAATACCGAACCATATCGAAATACTTTGGTACGGTATTTGGTATACACAATTGATAAATCAAATACCGAAATACCGAATGCCCACCCCTAATTATAGTTTAAAGCCTAATAACTATGATTTGCCTAATTACCATTCGTAGCTGCTATTCAATTATTACTAATTTTTATCACTTGTATTCAAATGCGCAACGAATAGAACCTGTGTCAACTGTATTCGTGCGCGCACCGAATACAACGTGTATCAACTGTATTCGTTCGCGTATTCATTTATGCAACGAATACAATATGTATCAATTGTAACCAAGGCGAAATACATAGGTGTTGTAACGACCCGACTTATCATTTTAATAATTTAAGTTTCGTTCGGTGGCTTAATGTCTCGAGCAACTTTGAAATGTGTATTATGACTTGCGAGGGTGGTCAAGTTTAGTTTTCGGATGATTCAGGATTTAATTGAAAGAACAATTCTTGTTTTGGAAGCTTAAGTTGAAATAGTTGACCGGATGGTGAATTATGTGTAAACGGCCCCGAAATAGAGTTTTGATGATTCCAATAACTCTGTGTGGCGATTTTGTACTTAGGTGCGTGTCCGAAATTATTTTTGGAAGTCTGTAGTGAAACTTTGCAAGAAATGGCGAAAGTTGAATTTTTGGGGAGTTTGATCGGGGAGTTGACTTTTTGATATCGGAGTTATAATACAATTTTGAAATTTTTTATAGATTTGTTATATCATTTATGACTTGTGTGCAAAATTTTAGATCAATCGAAATTGAATTGATAGGTTTCGGCATCGAATGTAGAAGTTGGAAATTCTTAAGTTCCTTAATCTTGAATTGGGGTATGATTCATAATTTTAGCATTATTTTATATGATTTGAGGTTTCAACTAAGTTCGTATGATATTTTAGGACTTGTTGGTGTATTGGGTTGAGGTCCCGAGGGCCTCGGGTGAGTTTCGGAGAGGTTTCAGATCAATTTTAACTGCTGATTTGTTTTACAGCAATGTGAAAAATTTCTAATGCGCAGAGTTGAATTTGGAAGCTTATATCTCGAAATCTATAAGGAATCTGTAAATTATCAAAACATGAAAATTGTAGCTCTTTGATTTTAGTTTCCAGAATGATAAACCATTCATCATTAAAAAATTTGTACAATAAGTTATGATCGATTAACTGAAGCTAGTACTGCAGATTTTGGCTACAGCAGTGTGCATCGCCAGAAATATCTGCTGCACAGGGCTGCCTTTGAGAGCTTATATCTCGTAATCTATAAGGAGTTGGGCGATGAGAAAAACATGAAAGTTGTATTTCTTTGTATATAATTTGCAGAAATTTAAACCGTTTGGCAGTTGAAGTTGAGTACAAGAAGTTATGATTGATACACTATAGACTATCGGGGAAGAGTTTTGGAAGAGTTGGATATTTTCAACATAAGCATGTAATGATCCAAAGGTCCATTTTTAGTTCTAGAGATCAAAATTTGATTTCGAGACTTCCCGAATTTTGATAAGGAATTATAGGAGTGATCTAATTCCATCAAGTCGCGGTTGGGTTTTTAGCGCGAAACATGAGTTAATTGTTTAACGAGCGAAATTGGTATCATATTGAGCAAATGAGCTCCGAATTGAGTTTCGATTGAATGTATAGGTTCATATTATTATTTGTGACTTATAGGAACAAGAATCGTCGAACTCCGAGTTTGTATGATGGTGTAAGAGCCTTTTTAGTGGAAACAAAACTGTTGGTGTAAACAGTTCTTGTGCGGACCTTTTACCAGATTTGACACTTTTAGCGACGGGATAGGATTTTTAGCGACTAGAATAGTGTCTTTTTGGGCAAAAACTAAAGGACCAAAAATGGTCATTTCCTTCATTTCGTTTTGGATTTTTGGAGCACGGTTCTTGGGCGATTTTGAGAATTTCTTCTTGACTTCAACTTGGGTAAGTGTCCTATATCCAAAAGTGATTATATTTCATAAATCCATGGTTATATTCATCATTTAATTCGGATTTAAATTGAAGAAATTGAAATTTTTGCAAAATCTTTCAAAAATGGAAATTTTTGATTTGGAGGCCGAGTTGTTATCGGAAATTAGTATGGGTAGACTCGTAATTGAATGGGTTGTCGGATTTATTAAGTTTCATCGGATTCCGAGACGTAGGCCCCACGAGCTATTTTTGAGTTAAATTTTGAATTTTATTGGAAAATTAGTATTTTCAAACGGAATTAATTCTTATAATTAGTATTGACTGAATTGAATTAATTTGCTTAGATTTGAGTTGTCCGGAGGTCAATTCAAGCAAGATGACAATTTTGGAATATCGGCCTAACTTCAAAAAAAAGTAAATATCTTGCCTAACCTTGAGTGGGGGAATTACCCCTTAGGCATCGAGTCTTATGTGACATTTGGGAAATGTTAAAAGATATGTACGCGAGGTGACGAGTACGTACTCGGGCTTATATGTGCAAATGTTATTAAGTTAAAGTCTTAGACATTATTGTGTAGTAAATTGGATAATTATTGGCATTTATTAAATCGTCTATTTGCCATGCCTCAATCCTTGTTTGTTGAATTTGTTTTTATATAACAATTTGATGTGATTGTTACTTGAATATTTATGTAAATTCCGTGAGTTTGGTGATTTGATATTTTCTGGAAATAATTATATTATGGATTTTCCATCTGCAAACAATTAATGAAATAATTTTAAACCGAGACGTTATATAATTA